TGTATATTATTTAATATTCAACATATGTGTACTGGTTCATAAAATGTGCTTAGATATTCTGAATTCCAAATGATTGTCTATTTCTCATATAAATTTTAACTTAAAACTATTTTTGTTTTGTTTTATTCAATAACCATATACAAGTCCCAATAAATATAATTTCTTAGTTACCAGCAACCAATGGATATAGCTTCTTTAATGAAGAAGACTAAATACTTTATGTCAAAAACTACCTCGTACTGTTACTTGATAAAATGTCTAACAAATAACATCAACTTGTTTTAAGTAATGGAATAAAATTACAATGTAAAATACAATATTATTTTGTGTCTAACTAATTTGCTTTAAATAAAACAACATATTTATTCTTATAAATTAAAAAAGCTCATTAAGCTTGATGTAAGAATAATAACACAAGCTGTTCTTAAAAAATTAATTTCAAACTTTTAGTAACTTTTATTACATTTTTTTTTACAGTATTTTCATCCACTTTTTTAACAATATGCAAATCACTAATATTCATAGATAGCACATGTATTAAAAACTCACTGAAGATGATTTAAACAGGCAGATCTAAAGGCTACTTAAATTATACATATGACATTTGTAACTTGCTATCTCGTATTTAATGTTATCTCCACTTAAAGAACAGAGCTATTAAACTTAGTTTAGTTAAGTAAGCTTCAACATAAGAGTTGAAATATTGTGTCTATTTTGCATGTTATATAATTTTCTACAGAAGAATTATTGTTTGTTTTTGCAAAATGTGAGAGAACTTCAAATTATACATTACTATAATCACACAAAAACAAATGAATATCTCAATTATTAACTGTTCAATTCTGAGGTTACAATTTACTGAATTAATACTTGAATTTCCTCTCTCTCTTTTTGTCTTTAGTTTAAATAAAATGTTAATTCATTTGGTTCCAAAAATGCAAAAACATGTATAATTATAACATCACAATAAAGACAACAAATAAAAAAAAAAAGACAAAATAGTGTTCAAGTTAAAAATGCAACTTGACAAAACCTATACACATTTGAAGTAACCAAAAATTAAGAGTTGAAAGACTGAAAAAAAAACAAAAAACAGCTGCATAATTAATGTAAAACAAAAAAGGAAAATAAAATAATACTCAAAACACACCAAAATAATACTAATAAAATATTATATGCACAAAAGTGTATGGACATTTAACAATATAATGACTTAAATATCTCCTGTTTGAACTACGCATTGGGGTTTTAATACTTTTTTAAATAGGAAATAAGCATTACCAACACCTTTGAACAGTGAAGAGCAGTAAAGCAACTTTTATAGTGTAGGTACTGGCAAAACAACACAAAGGAGTTTAAACACCTGTATGTTTGAACTACATAAAATAAAAGCATTGGCATTTCAATGTATACTTTTCCCCAAACCAGTTTAATATTTTATTCAGTATTCACATATTTATTATAAAATTCTAAATTATGCTGTAATGCTTTACAAGCATGATCCTAACCATACTACAAACAGTTAAGTGTTAGTACAAAGTTTACACAATCAGTTAACACTACAAATATAGTTATGTGCGTGTGTTAGTGCATTTTGTAACAAATATTACACACATAGACCACAGAAACAGGGAATACTTAATGTTAATCAGCACTGTGTGCGATTGTTCTGTACGAACACTAGGCGACATGCAAAAAGGTTTATTCAGAGCTAATACAGAGTAATTTGTATTCACGATTATCCAAAATATTAATTGGAGTATTTTGTAGGACAGATTTCTTAGTTTACTCTACAACAACATCCCAGTAAAAGAAAAAACGTTTTTTTTTGCTTGGTATTTCACCGTACAACTTCATGGGAGGTTACCACATAATTGAGGCACAAGATAGATTCACCACAAAACCTTGCAAGATAATCTTACACGCACACACAAAGAAAAGGAATTTTTTTTTTCTTTTCTTTTAGAATTTTGGCAATTTATTCAAGTATGTATTAATAACATTATATTCTCCTGGATGTTCTTTCTTGTATCTCAGTATGTGAGATAAGCTCCTGATGAAGCCATAAGGTGAAATTTTGAGCATTAAAAAAAAAACGTTTCTCACTTTATTGGAGGTGTATACACAAAACAACCACAGTAGTACTGGTTAGATTTTCACAACTTGTTTTGAAAGGACAATGCAACTAAGGCTTAGCTCTTAAAAGATAAATGATGCAACATAGCGTGCCGTGTTTTTGTTCCAAAAGGAACATTACTAACAAACTGATCAATAGAAACACTACAAACAAACTATGAACAGACTGTCAAGTACTAACAAATTTTTTATGGATGTTGTGAAAAGCAATCCACAGATTTATAACAAATTGGTAATTTGTCGATGGATTATAGTAAAGTAAAATGACTACTTGTAGACTTACTAACTTTTTAATATAATGCAGCAATTTCTATTGCCAACTATACTGATATACTTTCCTAATCTTAAGACACAAGTTATCAGTAGTTTATGACAAGTGTACGAGAAATAGTTTGTAGGGTAGTGCACTACGAGTTTGCTTCCTCCAGCACACACAAAAAGAAAGAGGATGGAGCTAATTTCCCATTTCAACCTTTTACACAATTCATGACAGTAACATTTATAATAACCCTCTAATAAAAAAAAAGACTAAAACATTAAAATTAAGAACAAAGAATT